TTAAAAATATTGTTTAATAAAAAAATGTTTACTGGTTTATGCTTACATTGGAAAAAATGTCAGTAAAATTTTAAAAAAAATATGTTTTAATGAGGCATGACGTTTGTAGTTGTCAGAAAAGGGGGGGCTATGCCCCCCCTTTAAAAAAAAAAAAAGGAAGAAGAAAGAGTATATAGAGGATTTATTAATATATATAGTAGTATACATATATAGATTTCTTATGTATATAGTATATATATGTAATACATATATACATCTATATAGCTTATTTTATAGTATATATATATATATATATATATAGAGTTATATAGTAATACCTATCTATACATTTAGTATATATATATATATATTAATATATAAATCCTTATATGAATATATATACATATTAATTGTATATATATATATATAGGAATGGTCAAAATTCGAGGAAAAAGAAGGTTTTTTTTTATTTATATTTAAATATAAATTTAATTATTAAAATAAGTATTTTTTTTTATTTTTTAATAATTAATTATTTTGTTAGAAATTCTAATTTAATTAAATAAATTTATTGAAATATTTATTTTTTATAATAATATGGAATAAAATTATTAAATTTTGTATTATTATTTATAAAAAATTTAAAAAAAATGTAATTATTTATTTGAATTTTATACTTTATTTAGTAAAATTTTATTTTGTTTAAAATATTTGAATATAATTATTAAATTTTATATTATTTCAGGGTTAAACTTAGGTAAAATTTTTATTTAATTGAGTTATATTGTTTATTAAAAGTTTTGTTTTGTTAAAAATACTTGAATATAATTATTAAATTGTATATGATTTTGGGTTAAAATTCAAAAAAATGTAATTATTTATTTGAATTTTATACTTTATTTAGTAAAAATTTTATTTTGTTTAAAATATTTGAATATAATTATTAAATTTTATATTATTTCAGGGTTAAACTTAGGTAAAATTTTTATTTAATTGAGTTTTATTGTTTATTAAAAGTTTTGTTTTGTTAAAAATACTTGAATATAATTATTAAATTGTATATGATTTTGGGTTAAAATTCAAAAAAATGTAATTATTTATTTGAATTTTATACTTTATTTAGTAAAATTTTATTTTGTTTAAAATATTTGAATATAATTATTAAATTTTATATTATTTCAGGGTTAAACTTAGGTAAAATTTTTATTTAATTGAGTTATATTGTTTATTAAAAGTTTTGTTTTGTTAAAAATACTTGAATATAATTATTAAATTGTATATGATTTTGGGTTAAAATTCAAAAAAATGTAATTATTTATTTGAATTTTATACTTTATTTAGTAAAAATTTTATTTTGTTTAAAATATTTGAATATAATTATTAAATTTTATATTATTTCAGGGTTAAACTTAGGTAAAATTTTTATTTAATTGAGTTTTATTGTTTATTAAAAGTTTTGTTTTGTTAAAAATACTTGAATATAATTATTAAATTGTATATGATTTTGGGTTAAAATTCAAAAAAATGTAATTATTTATTTGAATTTTATACTTTATTTAGTAAAATTTTATTTTGTTTAAAATATTTGAATATAATTATTAAATTTTATATTATTTCAGGGTTAAACTTAGGTAAAATTTTTATTTAATTGAGTTATATTGTTTATTAAAAGTTTTGTTTTGTTAAAAATACTTGAATATAATTATTAAATTGTATATGATTTTGGGTTAAAATTCAAAAAAATGTAATTATTTATTTGAATTTTATACTTTATTTAGTAAAAATTTTATTTTGTTTAAAATATTTGAATATAATTATTAAATTTTATATTATTTCAGGGTTAAACTTAGGTAAAATTTTTATTTAATTGAGTTTTATTGTTTATTAAAAGTTTTGTTTTGTTAAAAATACTTGAATATAATTATTAAATTGTATATGATTTTGGGTTAAAATTCAAAAAAATGTAATTATTTATTTGAATTTTATACTTTATTTAGTAAAATTTTATTTTGTTTAAAATATTTGAATATAATTATTAAATTTTATATTATTTCAGGGTTAAACTTAGGTAAAATTTTTATTTAATTGAGTTATATTGTTTATTAAAAGTTTTGTTTTGTTAAAAATACTTGAATATAATTATTAAATTGTATATGATTTTGGGTTAAAATTCAAAAAAATGTAATTATTTATTTGAATTTTATACTTTATTTAGTAAAAATTTTATTTTGTTTAAAATATTTGAATATAATTATTAAATTTTATATTATTTCAGGGTTAAACTTAGGTAAAATTTTTATTTAATTGAGTTTTATTGTTTATTAAAAGTTTTGTTTTGTTAAAAATACTTGAATATAATTATTAAATTGTATATGATTTTGGGTTAAAATTCAAAAAAATGTAATTATTTATTTGAATTTTATACTTTATTTAGTAAAATTTTATTTTGTTTAAAATATTTGAATATAATTATTGGATTTTTTATTAATTTGAATTATAATTAATATTTGAAATTTGTTAAACTAATTTTAATTAATTATATTAAATATTATGTAAATTAATAATATAAAACCATATTATTATTATTTTACATATAAATATAATTTATTTTGTTATAAAATTTTATTTAATTAAAAAAATACATGAAATTTTTTGATTGTTAATTATTTCTTAAAGGATTTTAATAATTCTCAGTATTAAATATTAAATATTAAAGAAATTTAGATTTAATTATTAATTTAAGTATAAACTAAATATGTGCCAGCAGTTGCGGTTAAACATAATATACAAATAAAATAGTTTGGTTATTAGTATTAAAATATAATTTATAATTTAATTTTTTTTAATAAAGTAAAATTTAATTAAAATTTATTATTGTAATTATTTTATTCTATTAAATTTTATTTAAAACTAGGATTAGATACCCTATTATAAAAATTTAAATTAATTTACTAAAAAATTAATAGTTATGTTCTTTAAATTTAAAAAATTTGGCGGTATTTTAGTCTTATTAGAGGAACCTGTTTTTTAATTGATAATCCACGATTTATTTTACTTATTTTAATAATTCATATATCGCTGTCATGAATATATTAAAAAATTTATTTTCTTTATTTATTTTTGTAATTTATGTTAAGTCAAGATGTGGTTTATAAATAAGTATTTAATGGGTTACATTAAATTTTATTTATGGATTTTAAATGAAAATTAAAATGAAATTGGATTTAATAGTAAATTTATTTATTTAATTAATATGAAGAAAGATCTAAAATATGTACATATTGCCCGTCATTCTTATTAAAAATAAGACAAGTCGTAACAAAGTAAGTGTACTGGAAAGTGTATTTAGAAAGATATTTATTATAAATAAATATCTAAATTTAAGTATATCATTTACAATGATAAGATGTTGTTAAACTTTATTTAAATTAAAATTATTAATATTTTTATTTTTTTTTGATTTTTTATAAAAGTAATTTATTTATTTAGAGTTTTAGTATTTAGTAAAAATTAATTTATAGATTTATAGTTTAATAGTATTGTAAAAGAATTAATTAAATTTTTAAAAGAATATTTTTAGTACCTTTTGTATCAGGGTTGATTAAAATTTTTAATTTTTTTTTAATTTCTCAAAATTTATAGAGTTAATTTTATTATTAATTTATTGTGTTATAAATATTTAAAAAATAATATTAGTTTTGAAATTTAATTCGTTATATTATATTTAGTTATTTAAGATTTAAATTTAATTTAAAATTTTAAAAGTTATATTGATTTTTTATATTAATATTTTAAATTTAAATTATTTTAGGGATAAGCTTGAAATTTTTATATAATAATTTATTTATTTTAATAATTTATAGGAATAGAAATTTTTATTTAAGTTTGTAAAAATTTATTATTTATTTATTTTTAATTTATTATAAATTTATTTATTTTTTATATTAAATTTTATTAATTAATATTTAATTAATAGTAATAATGATTAAATTAGTATAATTTTTATTTATAAATTATGAATTCGGCAAAAATTATTTTCATCTGTTTAACAAAAACATTGTATTAAGTTTAATTTAATATAGGATCTGCTCAATGATTTATTAAATAGCTGCAGTATTTTGACTGTGCAAAGGTAGCATAATAATTAGTCTTTTAATTGAGGACTTGTATGAAAGATTTGATGAGAAATAAACTTTATTATTTATATAATTAAAATTTTATTTTTAAGTAAAAAAGCTTAAATTATTTAAAGGGACGATAAGACCCTATAAAACTTTATAAATATTAATTTTGATTTTTTTGGATTTATAAATATTTTAATTTTATTATTTATTTTATTGGGGTGATAAAAAAAATTATTAAACTTTTTTTAAAATTTTACATTATTTAATGAGTATTTGAATTAAAATTTTTAATTAAAGGAAAAAGTTACTTTAGGGATAACAGCGTAATTAATTTTTTAAGTTCAAATTTAAAAATTAGTTTGCGACCTCGATGTTGAATTAAGATTAATCTTAGGTGCAAAATTTTAAGTATTAGGTCTGTTCGACCTTTAAATTCTTACATGATCTGAGTTCAAACCGGTGTAAGCCAGGTTGGTTTCTATCTTTTAAAAAATAAATTATTTTAGTACGAAAGGATTAAATAATTGAATTAAATTTTTATTAAATGAATTAAATTAATTTAACTATTTTGGCAGATAATTGTGTTAAATTTAGAATTTAATTATATAATTTTAATTATAAATAGTAATTTTTATCTTTATTATAATTGTTAATTTTTTGATTTTGTTTTTAATAGTTTTTATAAGAGTAGCTTTTTTTACTTTATTAGAACGTAAAGTTTTAGGTTATATTCAATTGCGTAAAGGGCCTAATAAATTTTTTCTTAAGGGTGTTTTTCAACCTATAGGTGATGGTTTAAAATTATTTTTTAAAGAAGTTAATTATCCTGTAAATATGAATTTTTTTGTTTTTATAATTTCTCCTATATTAGGTTTACTAGTTTCTGTATTTTTTTGATTTATTTATCCTTATATCGGTATAAATTATATTATAGGTTTTGGTTTAATTTATATATTTTGTTGTTCAAGTTTAATAGTTTATATTTTTTTAATAGTTAGTTGATCTTCTAATTCAAATTATTCAGTTTTAGGGATAATTCGTTTTATTTCTCAAATAATTTCTTATGAAGTAAGAATAATAATTATTATTATAAATTTAATATTTTTAATTAATAGTTTTAATTTAAATGATTTTTATATTTATCAAATGAATTCTAAATTTTTTTTTTTTCTTTTTTTAATTTTTATTTTATTGTTAATTAGATTTTTAGCGGAAATAAATCGTTCTCCTTTTGATTTTTCTGAAGGAGAGTCAGAATTAGTTTCTGGATTTAACATTGAATTTAGAAGTTTATCTTTTATTTTTATTTTTATATCTGAATATATAAGAATTATATTTATAGGGATATTATTGTGTGAAATATTTTTTGGTTTAATAATGAATAAATTTTATTTAAATATTTTTATTTTATTATTTATATTTTTAGTTATTTGATTACGTGGATTTTTACCACGTTTTCGTTATGATAAATTAATATATTTAGTTTGAAAATTGATTTTACCCCTATCATTATTTTTATTTATATTTAATTTTTCTATTAAATTATTTAACTTATATCATTAATTTTAGTATTAAGTTAATAGAGTTAAATTCTTTTTTTTATTTTCAAAATAAATATTTTAAATAAATTAATTAACTTAATTTATTGAATTAATAATTTATCTCATATTTTTATAATATAAAAATTAATAAAGAAATATGAAAAATAAATTGTTGTAAAAATTTGGCTTGTTGAGATGAATGGGTATTCAACTGGTTGTATACCAATTCAAGTTAATATAAAGAATGTTATGGTAAAAATTCAAAATATAATTTTATTTAATGGATAAAATTTATTTCTTAGAAAATTTTTGTTGTTTAATATAGGTAATACTAATAAAATTAAAATTGATAATATTAAAGCAATAACCCCACCTAATTTATTAGGAATTGCTCGTAAAATTGAGTATGAAAATAAAAAATATCATTCTGGTTGAATATGGGTAGGTGTAACTATTGGGTTTGCTATTACAAAATTATTATGATCGTTTAATATATATGGGAAAATTAAGGTTAGGATAAAAAAAATTCATATAAATATGATTAATCCAATTAAATCTTTAATTAAGAAATAAGGTGAGAATGTAATTTTATCAAAATTTCTATTAATACCTAATGGATTATTAGATCCTGTTATATGTAAAAAAAATAAATGAATAAAAGTAAAAAAAATAATAATAAAGGGTAAAATAAAATGAATTGAAAAAAATCGAGTTAATGTAGCATTTCTAATAGAAAATCCTCCTCAAATTCAAATTACAATTGAGTTTCCTAAATAAGGAATTGCTGATAGAAGATTTGTAATTACTGTTGCTCCTCAAAATGATATTTGTCCTCATGGTAAAACATATCCTACAAAAGCTGTTATTATAGTTAATAATAATAATATTACTCCAATAATTCAAGTTATTTTAAAATTAAATGAGTTTATATAAATTCCTCGTCTGATATGAATATAAAGTATAATAAAGAATATTGATGCTCCATTAGCATGAAAAGATCGAATTAATCATCCAAAATTTACATTTCGATTTATATTAATAATTCTTTGAAATGCTAAATTAATATCTGTTTTATAATGAAAAGCTAAAAATAATCCTGTTAAAATTTGATTTATTAAACAAATTATTAATAAAGATCCGAAATTTCATATAAAACTAATTCTAGCAGGTGTAGGTAAGTTTAATATTGGCGATAAAATTTTTATTATATTTTTTTTCATTAGTTAATTTTTTGTCGAATTGGTCCTTTATTAATTTTTAATATTCAAATAATTAAAATTAATATAAAAAAAAGAATAAATATAATTATATAAATTATAAGATTATTAGGTATGATAAATATATTTAATAGATAAAAATTATCTTCAAATATAAATTTATTTTCATAATTTATATTTTCTATATTTAATGATATTTTAAAGTATATTAATGTAAAAAAAATAATAATTAATTTAAAAATTATATTTTTATAATTTTTATTAATATTTAATTCATTAAAAGCAATTCTTGAAATATATAAAAAAATAATTATTAATCCTCCAATATATAAGATAAAAATTATAAATGAGATTCATGCTGTTTTATTAATTAAATTAATTATTATAGTTAAAGTTATTGTTTGAATTAAAATAACTAAGTTTGATCTAATGGGTGATTTTATTATTGTTAATATAATTGCTATAATTAGATTAGTAAAAAGAATAAGTTTTAAAATTCAGTATATATTTTAATTAAAATGTTAATTTTGGAGATTAATGATAATATTTGTATATTTATACTGATTATTTTAAATAATTTTATAATTTTGATTTACAATATCAATGTTTTTTTTAAACTATTAAAATGATAAATTTATTTATTTTAGTTCTAATATTTATATTATTTTCTGGGGTTTTATTTTATATTTTTAATTTTAATCATTTATTAATAATACTTTTAGGATTAGAATATTTATTATTAATTTTGTCTTTATTATTTTTATTAAATTTAATAATATTTATTAAACAATATGTTTTATTATTAGTATTTTTTATTTTTTGTATTAGTGAAAGAGTGTTAGGTTTAACAATTTTGATTTTAATAGTTCGTATATATGGTAATGATTATTTAAAGTCTCTAATAATTTTACAATGTTAATAATTTTAATATTAATTATATTTAGAATGATTTTTTTTAGCTTGAAGATTAAAAGATGATGATTAGCCCAGAATTTTTTTTTTTTTTTTTTTTTTTTCATATATTTTAAGATTCCAATATTCAATTATTTTTTAAATGTTAGTTATTTATTTGGTATAGATATGTTTTCTTATTTAATATTTATGTTAGGAGTTTGAATTATTAGATTAGTTTATATTCCTAGCCTTAATTTTAAAAATAATTATTTGAATTATTTTAATTTTTTAATATTTACTTTTATTATTATTTTTTATTTTTGTTTTTTTAGTAATAATTTTATTTTATTTTATATTTTTTATGAAATTAATTTAATTCCTATTATTATTTTAATTTATGGTTGGGGTTATCAATATGAACGTTTTAAAGCTGGATTTTATTTGTTTATTTATATAATTTTTTTTTCATTACCTTTTTTTTCTTGTTTATTGAGTTTAAATAATTTTAATTTTATATTTATATATTATTTTGATTATTTAAATAATTTAAATTTTTATTATTATTTATTTTTAATAATGATTTTTTTAGTAAAAATACCTTTATTTATATTTCATATTTGGTTACCTAAAGCTCATGTTGAAGCTCCTATTTCTGGTTCAATAATTTTAGCTGGTATTATATTAAAGTTAGGTGGTTTTGGTATTTATCATGTTTTAATATTAATTTTTAAAATTAATCTTAAGTTAAATTATTTATTTATTTCTTTATGTTTATTAGGTATAATAATTCTAAGTTTAGTTTGTTTTTTTCAAAGAGATTTAAAAATTTTAATTGCTTATTCTTCTGTTGTTCATATAGGATTAGTTATTATTGGGTTTTTAACTTTAAATAATTTAGGTTATTTTGGTTCATTAATTTTAATATTTGGGCATGGTTTATGTTCTTCTGGTTTATTTTGTTTAAGAAATATTTGTTATATACGTTTTAAGAGTCGTAGTATATTTTTAAATAAGGGTTTAATTAATATTTTTCCTTTTTTGTCATTTTGATGATTTTTATTATGTTCTTCTAATATATCTTTTCCTCCTTCTTTAAATTTATTTGGTGAATTATTTTTATTAATTAGTTTGATAATTTGATTAGATTATTTTTATATTTTATATTTATTAATTATAATTTTAATATTTTTATATAGTCTTTATTTATATTTGTATACTCAATATGGTAAATTATTTTTTAATATGAATTATTTAGTTTATATTAATTTAAGAGAGTATTTATTATTATTTATGCATTGGTTACCTTTAAATATTATTTTTTTAATTTTAGAATTATTTTTTTATTTAAATAGTTTAATTAAAATATTAATTTGTGGAATTAAAGATTATAATATATATTTAAATAATTAAATTTAATTTTTTTTTTTTTTTTTTTTTTTTTTTTTTTATGTTATTTATTATTTTTTTTATTTTGGGTTTATTATTAATTTATTTTGATAAATTTTATTTTATTGAAAATATATTTTTTTTTTTTGAATATTATATTTTTTTTTTATTAATTCTTGTATAGTTTTATATGTTATTTTATTAGATTGAATATCTTTAATATTTATTTCTTTTGTTTTTTTAATCTCTTCTATGATTTTATTATATAGAATAGAATATATAAATTATGATTTTAATAAAAATCGATTTTTAATATTAATAAATTTTTTTATTATATTTATGTTTTTTTTAATTATTAGACCTAATTTAATTAGTATTTTATTAGGTTGAGATGGTTTAGGTATAGTTTCTTTTTGTTTAGTAGTTTTTTATCAAAATAAGAAGTCTTATAGTTCAGGTTTAGTTACTGTTATTTTAAATCGTTTAGGTGATTTATTTATTATTATATCAATAATTTGAATATTAAATTTTGGTTCTTGAAATTTTATTTTTATTAATTATTATAGAAATTTAAATTATTTATTTTTTATTAGTTTAATGATTATATTTGCATCTTTAACTAAAAGAGCTCAAATTCCTTTTTCTTCTTGATTACCTTTAGCTATAGCAGCACCTACTCCTGTTTCTTCTTTAGTTCATTCTTCTACTTTAGTAACTGCTGGTATTTATTTAATAATTCGTTTTAATGAAATTTTCTTAAAATTTTCTTTTTTAAATTATTTATTAGTACTTTCTTGTTTAACTATATTAATATCTGGTTTAAATGCAATTTTTGAATTTGATTTAAAAAAAATTATTGCTTTTTCTACGTTAAGTCAAATAAGATTTATATTTATAATTTTATGTTTAGGTAAAATTGATATGTGTTTTTTTTTATTTATTAATACATGCTTTATTTATTCTATAATATTTTTAAGAGCTGGTATTTTAATTTTAAATATAAATAATAATCAAGATATTCGTAAGATAGGGGGATTGGTTGATTATTTACCTTTTTGTAGATTAATTTTTATGTTTACTTTAATATCATTATGTGGTTTTCCTTTTTTTTGTAGTTTTTATTCCAAGGATTTAATTTTTGAGTATTTTTTAATAGTTAATTTAAATTTTTTTTTTTTTTTTTTTTTTTTATTTTCTTTTTTTTTAACTTTTTTTTATTCAATTCGTGTTATTTATTATTTAATATTAATGAATTTTTCTATATATAATTATTTAATAATTATTAAATTTGAAAGAAAAATTTTAATTATTAGTATAATATTAATTAGTTTCATTATATTATTTTTTGGTTCTTTTTTTATATGATTAATATTTTATAAATTTGATTTAATTTTATTAGAATTTAAATTTAAGATTTTGAGAGTTTTAATTTTATTTTTTAGAATTTGATTTTTTTTTGAGCTTAATAATTTTTTATTTTCTATAAGTTATATTATTTCTATGTTTAATATTTTTTTTTTTAGATTAATATGAAATTTATTGTTTTTTAAGGTAAATTTTTTTTTGAATAATTTTCTTTGTTTTGGGTTTTTTACTTTAAAGGTATTTGAAGTTGGTTGAATTGAGTATAGTTTAAATAGAGGTTTAATTTTTTTTTTTAAAAAAATAATTGATTTTAGTCAAAAAATTTTTTTAAATAGTTATAAGGTTTATATTTTATTATTTTTTTTATGATTTTTTATTATTTTATTATTTAATTATTAAATTTAAATAGCTTAATTAAGAGCATTATATTGAAGATATAAAGGTAAAATTATTTTTTTTAAATAAATTTTTTTTATAAATTATTTATTTTTTCATTTTTTTTTTATTATTTGTTAATTTTTTCTAATTAAATATTTTTTTTAAAAAATAAATTTGTAAAAAAAAATTATTTTGGGGTAAGTTTTTATTATAAAGTTAAAATTCTAATTGTTTATTATTTTGTTATTTTTGAAAAAGATTAAATTTTGATTTGTTTTTTTTTTAATTTTTTTATAAGGTAGCTACCTTTGTATATTTTTTTTTTTATTATTTGTTAATTTTTTCTAATTAAATATTTTTTTTAAAAAATAAATTTGTAAAAAAAAATTATTTATAAAAAGAAATTATTTTTATATTGAAAATATAATGTTTTATTTTAAACTAATAAATATTTAAAAGATTAAACATTTAAAATGCTTTAAAAGATAGTTAGCAGCTTCTTTTTTTTTAAAATCTTTTTAATTGGAATTTTTTTTTCAATATTATTATTAACAGTAATAAACCTCTTTTTGGTTTCAATTAATAAATAAGGATTATAATAATCTATTATTAAGTCGAAATTAATATGTAATTTTTTTACTTCTTATTTAAGATAAATTATATAATAATTTTTAATAGCAAATTAAATGTTATAATTTTTAACTATTATCCTTAAATTTTTCAGTTTAATGATCCAAATTTTCATTCATAAAAAATTGTAATAATTATAAATATAAAAAATATTCTGAATATTAAATTAAAATATAATATATTAGAAATTTTAAAATTTATAATTATTGGGAGAATAATTGAAATTTCAATATCAAAAATTAAGAAAATAATTGCAATTAAATAAAAATTTAATGAAAATGGAATTCGTGATTTATTAAATGGGTCAAATCCACATTCAAATGGTGCTGATTTATTATAATTAAATTTTATTTTTATATTAATTAAAATTATAACTATAAATAATATTATTATGGTAATTAGTATTGTTAATATTGCAATTAAATTTAATATAATTATTTTATTTAAAAATTAAACTTTTTGATTGGAAATCAAATATACTATTTGTATATTAATAAAATTAATTATTTCATCAGTAAAAAGTTATATATAAAAATAATCAAATAATATCAATAAAGTGTCAATATCATGCAGCTAGTTCAAATCTAATATGATGAATATATGAGAAATGTATTTTTATTATTCGTAATAGGTTAACAATTAAGAAAATTGTCCCAATAATTACATGTAATCCATGGAATCCTGTTGCTATATAAAATGATGATCCAAAAATTGAATCTGAAAATGTAAATGTTGCTTGTTTATATTCTAATATTTGAAGTATTAAAAAATAAATACTTAAAATAATTGTTAAATTTATGAAAATAATTGTTTTTTTTTTTGAATTATTTAATAAGTATAAATGAGTTAATGTAACAGTAAATCTTGATGTTAATAAAATAATTGTATTTAATAGCGGAATTAATAATGGATTAAAAAAATTAATATTTTTAGGTGGTCAGTTTAGTCCTAATTCAATTGATGGAGCTAATGAATTATGTAAGAAATTTCAGAAAAATGAAATAAATAAAAATATTTCAGAAATAATAAATAAAATTATTCTAAATTTAATTAAATTTATAATATAAAAATTATGATTACCTTGAAATGTTCTTTCTCGAATTACATCTCGTCATCATAATATTGAGACACTAATAATTATAATTAAATTTATTAATGATATAATATTAAATTTAAAATTTATAATTATTACATTAGAGATTATTAGATTAAATGTATTTATTGCTATTAAAATTGGTCATGGGCTTAAATTTAAAATAAAATAAGGTTGATTAATTTTTATCATTATTCTCTAGAGTATAAAGATGAAAGAATTGAGAATACGTATCTTTGAATTAGAGCTACACATAATTCAAAAATTATTATGAATATTTGAATTAAAATGATAATAATTATTATTGAATTAAAATTTAATAAAGTTATTAAAAGATGACCTGCAATTAAATTTGCTGTTAGTCGAATTGATAGAGATAAAGGTCGAATAATAATTCTTATAGTTTCAATAAGTGTTATTAAAGGAGCTAAATAAATTGGTGTATTTAATGGAATTAAATGGGCAATTATATTTTTTGTGTTTTTACATGTTGAAAAAATAATATAAAATAATCAGAAGGGTAAGGCTAATGTAACTGAAAAAATTATATGACTTGAAGATGAGAAGATATAAGGGAATAATCTAAAAAAATTATTAAGTAAAATAAACATGAATAATGCAATAAATAGGAATGCAGGTGATTTAGTTTTTTTTGCTTTGTATAATATTAATATTTCATTGTTTAATATATTGAATATTTTAAATAATATTCAATTTATTCGATTTGGTATAATTCATAAAAAATTTGGTATTAATAAAATAATTAAAAAAGTTCTGATTCAATTTAATTCTAAATTAAAAATTGTTGTTGAAGGGTCAAAAATATTAAATAAATTTATTATAATTTTTTATATTGGTTTTATATGAAAATTTTATTTTTATATTTTTAATAAAGTTAAAATATAATAAATTTATAATTAAATAAAATATAGAAAAAAAAAAAATAAATAAAATTAATCAATTAATTGGTGCTATTTGTGGAATTAAGTGATATTAATAAATAATTTTAATTTGACAAATTAATGTTATAATTTTAACTAATCTCTTTCATTAGAAGTAATTGCTAATTTACTATATTTTGATTTAAGAGATCATTACTTTGCTTTTCAGTCATCTAATGAATTAAAAATTTTTAATTCAATAAATAAATTTATTTAAATTAATTGATTCAATTTGAATTGGTATAAATCTATGGTTAATTCCACAAATTTCTGAACATTGTCCAAAATATATACCAGGGCGATTTATAAAAAGATTAATTTGATTTATTCGTCCAGGGATTGCATCAATTTTAATTGCTAATCTTGGGATAGTTCAAGAGTGAATTACATCATCTGATGAGATTAATAGTCGGATATTAAATTTATATGGAATAATAGTTTTATTATCTACTTCAATTAAACGAAAATTTTCTTTACTTAAATCATTGATTATATAAGATTCAAATTCAATATTTGAAAAATCTGAATATTCATATGATCAAAATCATTGATGACCAAAAATTTTAATTGTTAAAATAGGACATTTAATTTCATCTATTAAATATAGTAAATGTAATGAAGGTATTGCAATAAAAATTAAAATAATAGGTGGAGTTGCTGTTCAAATAAATTCAATTATTTGATTTTCAGAAATTTTAATATTAATAAATTTATTATTTATAATAAATAATATTATATATGTAATTGTTGATATAATTATAATAATAATAAAAATTGTGTGATCATGGAAAAAGATTAATTGTTCTATTAATGGTGAATTTCTATTTTGGAATCTTAGTTTTATTCAAGTTATAATTTCTAAAAAAAGATTAATCTTTATAAATGAATTTTAAGTTCATTGCATATAATTTCTGCCATATTAGAAATTAATAATTAAAGGTAATTCTGAATATGAGTGTTCTAAAGGAGGTAAATTATGGATTCATTCAATAGAATTACTTAAATTTAATTTAAAAATTGTAGTTTTTTTTAAAAAAATTCTGTTTCAAATTGAATAAATTAAAATAATAATACTAAATGTTGAAATTATTGATCCAATTGAAGAAATTATATTCCATAATAAAAAATTATTAGGGTAATCTGTATATCGTCGTGGCATACCATTTAAACCTAAAAAGTGTTGAGGGAAAAATGTTAAATTAACTCCAATAAATATAAGAATAAATTGAATTTTTAAAATAAAATTATTTATAGAGAATCCTGTAAAAATTGGAAATCAATGAATTAATCTAGCAATAATTGCGAATACAATTCCTATTGATAATACATAATGGAAATGGGCTACTACATAGTAAGTATCATGAAGAATAATATCAATAGATGAATTAGCAAGAATAACTCCTGTTAAACCACCAATTGTAAATAAAAAAATAAATCCTAATGATCAAATTGTTGAAGGTGAAAAATTAATTTTAGACCCATAAATTGTAGCTAATCATCTAAAAATTTTAATTCCTGTTGGAATAGCAATAATTATTGTTGCTGATGTAAAGTATGCTCGTGTATCCACATCTATACCAATTGTAAATATATGATGAGCTCATACAATAAATCCTAATAATCCAATAGTTAATATAGCATAAATTATTCTAATATTTCCAAATGTTTCATTTTTATTTCTTTCTTGTCTAATAATATGAGAAATTAAACCAAATCCTGGTAAAATTAAAATATATACTTCAGGATGACCAAAAAATCAAAATAAATGTTGATACAAGATTGGGTCACCTCCCCCTGCTGGGTCAAAAAATGAAGTATTTAAATTACGATCAGTTAATAATATTGTAATAGCACCTGCTAGAACAGGTAAAGATAAAATTAATAAAATAGCTGTAATTAAAATTGATCATGGAAATAAAGGGATTTGGTTTAATTTTATATTGTTTGGTATTATATTTAAGATTGTACAAATAAAATTAATTGCTCCTAAAATTGATGAAATTCCTGCTAAATGTAATGAAAAAATAGTTAAATCAACTGAAATATTATTATGTGCAATATTATTTGATAAGGGTGGGTAAATAGTTCATCCTGTTCCTGTTCCATTATTAATTAAAAAACTACAAATTATTATTATTAATGAGGGTGGTAATAATCAGAATCTAATGTTATTTAATCGTGGGAAAGATATATCAGGACATCCTATTATTATAGGAATTAACCAATTTCCAAATCCACCAATAACAATTGGTATTGTTATAAAAAAAATTATAATAAAAGCGTGAATTGTAACAATAACATTATATAATTGATTATTATTAATAATTGAATTAATTTGTCTTAATTCAAGACGAATTAAGATTCTAAGTGATGATCCAATTATACCTGATCAAATACCAAATAAAAAATATAAAGTTCCAATATCTTTATGATTAGTTGAAAAAATTCATTTTATAGATAAAATGGCTGATAATAGGTTATAAATTGTAAATTTATATATAGATTGAAAAATCTTTTTATCATTTTAATCTTATATTCAAATTATATGATATTAAATTGCAAATTTAAAGGTATTAATTATTTAATTAAGGTTTAAAATATAATATTTTTAATTTTGAAGATTAATAGTTTAATTAATTAACTTAAAACCTTAATAAATAAATAAATAACTGAAAAATAATCTGAAAAAATTTATTATTATAATGAAGTTATAATTATTTTTTTTAAATTGTAAATATCATTTATTAAAAATATTGAAGTTAAATAGTATAAAATATGTTATTTTAATATAAAAGAATAAATTTAAAATAGTTAATATAATTAATATTATTATAATAAAATATATATTATTATAAATTAATGTTTTAATTAGTATTCATTTTATAATAAATCCTAATATAGGGGGTAAACCTATAATTGAAAAAATTAGTATTAATATATTTAATTTAAAAAAAAAATTTAAATTGAAAAATTTTATTTGATTAATATAATTAATATTATAGTTATTAAGTATTTTAATGATTAAAAAATTTAGTATTGAATAAATTAAAAAATAATTAACTCATAATTTTTCATTTATTAGAATTGCAAATAGTATTCATGTAGAATTATTAATTGATGATATAGCTAAAATTTTTCGTATTGAATTTTGATTTAAACCAAAAATTGAATTTATTGAAATTAATGCAATTAAAAAAATTATATTTTTATTAATATTTAAGTAAGAAATTATAATTATAGGTGTGATTTTTTGTCAAGTTATTATTAATAAACATGAAAATCAGTTTAACCCTTCTATTATTGAAGGTAATCAAAGGTGAAATGGTATTAGTCTTAATTTTATTAATAATGGTATTATAATTAGTATATTATCATTATTTATAAATATAAAGTTTTTATTAATTAGAAAGATTAATAGAAGAATTGAGGCAAAAGCTTGAATTAAAAAATATTTTATTGTAGCTTCAATTGAGTAAATTGATGATTTAAAATTTAAAATTGGGATAATAGAAAATAGGTTTAATTCTAATCCTATTCATATAGATAATCAATTTGATGCTGAAATTGATATTAATGTTCTAAATGATAATAATGTGAAAAATATAATTTTTGTTAAATTTAAATTTATCAGAAAAAAGAATTTTATTCTATATTTGAAGTATGAATCCAAAAGCTTTATTTTAGCTTATTTTTCTATATAATTTTATATATTTAAGTGTTTTTGCATATAAATTTTTGAAATTTATGGATTAGATAATTTCTTAAAATATAATAAAAGTATATATAATACATGATTTACTCTATCAAAGTAACCCTTTTTTCAGGCATTTTATT